ACAAGCGACGTTCACTGGGTTGCATTTCGAACTTTGTCTCAGATACCAACGACCATGCCTCCTCAACGCTATCAGTCGATCCTCGTTCAATTCATGTTGCTATTGCTACACCAGTGATGTAGCAATCGACAAAGTTTATGCTGCTTACGGTCGCAGGAACTCCGTTACGAAGATTCTTGCGTCAATGAGCAAGTCGACGCATCCTTCATTATGTGTGTGAGATCAGTAGTGTAATATCAATCTATTATCAATTTCATCCAATCAAATCTATGGTTGCACCTACAGTTGTATTTTTGACTTGTACTCTGATAGTATCTTCATGCATGTGCGGAATGTTAGAAAAGTACTGTCATCAATACTGACTTAAAAACATTTGAGCTTTTAGACGACATCGTCGCATTAATGTTAAGGTCCGAGCTACAAGAATCTGCGCTTCTTTTGTTTGAGATAAAGTAACGCAATCGCTTTAATCTTCTTACTGTATACTTGCGATAGAAAACACTGTCGGCGGGTAGGCTGCCTACTCTCCAAGACTAAGTATTTGGACTTTGTTGGCTTCCATTGATCGTGCGACGTACGTTAGCGAATTGATAGATGACTGCGCATCCAACAATAAGATTCGTTGTGAGATGAAAGATTAAATTTTAAGTGCCTAGCACAATGCGACCACCAAAAAGTTATCTATCGATAATAAGCGTCGCGACACAAGTGTTTGCGGAGTGCGCTATGAATTCAAGTCTGCTGATTTGATTTGACAGGTGCTTTTGATCCCCTTCATCATAGATAGTTCAGCGATACTAACCTAATTGATCAAGGTGATACAAAGAGTCGTTGGCCCATCAATGATAAAGATAGCACAAGATTTTTAGAAGTGTATGAATCGTCTGAAGTTCTCCATTTTGTTGTCTGCTTTTTCTTCTTCTGGGCTTTATCAGATAGAAGTAGCCACCTACATACGCGACAACTCACAAACAAGACATCTATCTCTCACGTAACCTAATCCAGCTGCAACAGCAATCCATCTGGCATCAGATTTGATACTATCCAAGTGCACTGTCAAGCATATCAATCGTTTATCTTCACTGAGTACCTGTTATTATACTAAAACCCACCTCGTCAAAAACACATGCGCTCTTGTTCTAGACTTTGAAACTGGCAATTATATGCCCAATCTATTCACTACCACTATACTTAAAGAACCACTATAAAAAAAGAAGCAGCACTCTTATTGATTTCCTCTGACATTTATATAACTAAATGATGCTAACTCTGTGCAAAGCATGATTTTGTATGAATATTCACACGTCAGCCGGCAAGCACTTAAAGGTGTTGACTTCTTCCATCTAAGGAACCGACTCTCGATACTCCTGTCTGTATGGATCAGATAAAACGCAGCTGCTCTCTAGGTCCCAATCTCAGATCAGATGCATGAAATAACGCTATCTAATCCTGACACCTCTGCCTTGCGGCCGTAGTGTGAATTTCACAATGTTGCCGTCCAATACATGATCCATGGATTGATAAACTGTACGTACAGCGAAGGCAGCTGTCACCATTTGGTCAAATATAAAAATGCTCCTCATTTTGAAATTTGTTTTTTCAATCGCAAGCTCTTCCCGATTTATTAAGCAAGACATATCAAGATGAAGCCTGTTTCAATGCTTGTGCTGTTTAGCATCGCTGTTGCCTACGTTTCTGCTGGGTCAACGTACAGTGTCTCATTCAAAACCTTCGATGAGTCTGATGATGACGAGCCGGGTTCGTCGAATACCTGGCAGGTTGACACAAAGTCGCTTCCTGAGAATGATCCCAAATACGTCGTCGTTTCGTATGCTCCAGCTCCTACTGAAGAATTACCAAAGGTGATCGTGTCGTGCAAGGAATCAGACGATTGTTATGGTGTGAATCACGGCGTTGATATCACCTCAACACCTAAACTTGACCCTGATTTCAAACTTAGCCCCGATTTTGCTAAGCCGAAGGATCCCCCAGTATACAAATCGTCTGGCCAGACCTGGGACGAATATCAAAGTCACGGAGGCCTTAGAAACAACGTAATATACTGAAAGGTCAGTTGTCACAAGAGTTGTTTATGACGCGTCCCTTGCTATTGTTTTGCATGTGATGACGTCTCTTACTATCTCGACACTTGGTCAAATTGTGTAGTTTCTAGTTTAAATAATAATACTTTTCATATATGCTGTTGAAAGTTTTTGTCGCGTTCACCAAGTGGATAAGTTAGGGTTTGTATGATAGAGTAGAACACCCGACATAATACTAGCACCGACAAGATCGGCTTTGTCGCTAATGGTGTGAGTTTGAAGTGCAGCGATAAAACGTAGAGATTAAGGGTCTACTTGCAAGCGAAGCAATGATTAAACTAGCTAGAAAGATCATCTAATTCAAGAAGTTAACTCTAGCAATCAAAAATAAATCACCGCGCAGTGATCTTTAATACAGATCAACCTATGCGACCGGAGAAGCAGGACATCAGAATGACCAGCTCGCCCGACATGTACGTCTTAGACTTCGGTTGTCTAGGCGATTCAGTCAAATTAGCCTAATTGTCTAGTTATAGCATCAAGATGCTTGTGATTGCGGCTGAAGCAGCATACTTACCAGAGTTTGGTTTGACTTTAAACATACGATAACATGAGCGCTGATAGTCTTGTAAAGATTGTACCACTGTCTGCTAAGTATTCTGCGTGATAATGGCGGCAACAATCAAAAACTGCGATGAATTGCTACTTTAATTACGTTAGGCCGAAAGCGTTTGCATCATAACGTTATGGCCGTGCTTATCACGGCCTGAACTGAGATTGAAAAATGAGACGACATTCTCATTCTCATTTTCTTTTTGATTCGATTTTTTCACTGTGTTAATGATGCTTGTCCATCGTGCACTCAATGCTTTTGCGCAATCATTATACCCAAGTTCTTCATCAACTGCCATTGCTTAGTTCTTTGACCATCTCTAGAAAATGCATCCAGCAGACAATTTTTCTTAAAACCGGTTCGCTTTTTCTCTATGCAACTTGTGGTTGTTTATAATCTAAACAAACTGATCTGTTGGAAGCAATTGTGCTGGATTGGAGCCTTGACACTCTAGAGATTGAGAGAGTTGACGTTGGTCCAGAAATCGATAGAGAGAGAGAAAGAGAGAAAGGGGAGATTTTTATGAAAGCGAACGACAAGAATGTGACAGAGGACATTAAAAGTTCTTAAATGGTCAACCTTCATAGAGGAGCAGCAGTCTGAGGTGTATCTACTGTATACACCCAATCTGTTCTAGATCGTTGCGGCATCTCAATTGATATCATGCCAAGGTGTGCAGAAGCTCAATCACAGCCTAGACCAAAGTAGCCACGAGTATAAGCGGGATTAAAGGGTGATTGAGAAATCATCTCCTAGTCAATTTTGTAGTAGCTTTCACCAAGGCTTGTTGTCGCTAAGCACGGCAGCTAAATATTCGTATATCATTTGGTATTGTTCCTGTAACAATCGAGACAATCAAAAATCTGTAGACAGAAAACAAAAACCATACAAAACATACCGGCGTTTGTACCATACCAGGCCGTTGCGATCGTAGACGATGCACAACTTTTGGAATATCGAGCGCCATTTCCATTGCTTGTGTACTGCAGTCGCTACTAGTTAAAATTTGGTTCAATCTCTTTAACAAAATATCAATAGCGATAAATGTGCCGGATCGGCCAATGCCTGCGCTACAATGTACCACAATTCGCGTATCGACGTGATATTGCCGAGATGTTTTGGTACAATAGCTATTCACGGCATCCAACATTGGTGCAATGACTTGATAGTCATGCAATACGCCATGATCGGGCCACGTAGTCAGCTGAATGTGTTGAATGATGCGACTTTCAATTTCAACTCCTTGCTTGTCGATTTTCCAAACTTTAAACCTTCGAACAAGAAATCCTGAATGATGACTTTCATCCAGTACTTTCACTTGAACACCATCAAAATCAAGCTCAAGTCCTTTAGGATCCCAATAAATGTCAGCTTTTACTCGCTCTTGTTCTACGAAATTTGTAAGCATGAGGATTACATGAACATGACACTGCCATATCATGTGCCAAAAGTCTCGAATTGCCGCGGGTACAGGGGCACAACAAGCGATGTAGCCACCGTCAATATAGTTGGCGTTAATATAGTCATCTGATTGTCGCAGTAGCTTGACTCGTGTCTTTTCAATTGGCAACACGTCTCGGTATCGATTCTTTGCTTTTGTTGCTTTCGTCTGTGGTGTCAACGCATCGTCGTAGCCTGGAGCTTTGTCAACACTGAAGCAGATTTTCCTGTATTCACGTTCAAAGCCTGAAGTGCCCGAGCGATTGTCGCGGTGCTGCAGTTGCTGCAATTTTGCTAGAAACGCATTGATAGCAGTTCTGGCAGCCATAGGAAGATGCTGGTGATTCGCGAGCACATTACGCAGCGATGTTATGTCGCTTGATGGAGGTGCTGCGTTCATAGGTAAAAAGGGATAACTCTTTTTATTAGAATAGTGGTAGGTTGGATATTGTAGTAAGAGGGTTAAAAGCCAGTGTTTATATTGCTTTAGAGGTGGACTATTATGTTCACGCCATCGCGAATGATGCATTGGGTAAGAAACCATAGCATCAATGGAATTGAAGAAGAGAACGACCCTGCAGATATCAACGAAGCTTATTGAGTTGATTGATTACTCATAGCTTCTAAATAGAGAGGTATAATAAAAGTTCTCGGAATTATCTTTCGCAACAAAAACAAAAAGACGTAAAAGCTTTCAAGTTGTAATCGATACAAGAAAGATGGTCACTCTCATTGTTTTTAGGCGCGTATTGCATCTAAGACGGCAAAGGCAGAAAGTAATTTGAATGAAGATTTGGAAAAGATTTCAAATAAATATTCTTTAAATATATCTTTTGATCTGACTAAACTTTCCTTCGTTCTGTGTCACCAAGAATACAAGTGCAGCTGCTTATTTTAAAATATCGGAAGACACAATCGTGTAGCATGCGATACTTATATTAATGATCCATCTGGTACTCTGCGTAGTCCAGCCAATCTTCGTCCTCCTCTACACCAGCATCATCATCAGGTCGGTATTCTAGACCAGTACGTTCATTATGTACCAATCCACCTACTCCACAAGTATTTCCATAACACAGACTGTTTGTATCAGCTAGCACCGCCTCTCCCTCGGCGAAATTCATGTCTGACGCTTCATCAAACATCAAATCAGCTTTGTTAATAATTGAATGGATTTGCTCTTTCATCCCAATGTTACTATTAGGAATTCCTCCTAAGATCAAAAGCTCGTCCGAAGTCGTCGGGAATACAATCAGTCCATTGGTTTTCACTGGATATATCCACACATCACCTCCTTTCTCCAGTAATTTTCTTCCCCACATCTCTGCACTCGACTTATTTATAAATGTCGAAAGAAATGGGGTAGATTTGTTGTTGTGCCAGTTCAAATGCTGACTCTTGGCATGCTGAAACTCCTCTTCAGTCTCAAAATTTGGACAATTGAGCCTAGAACGAACAAGAGCATCTTCGTTTCCAGCATGACCTAAGCGCCAAACAATTGGTGGTGGATGGGAAAGCATATTGTTTGTGATAACGTCAAAGGACGGAGCCATTGTTTCGAAGCTCGGGAATTGCTCAAATGGAAGCTCATCGCATGAGGGTTATGCTGGGTTACATGAATCACCCATCAAATTATATAAGTGACAATATTACTGCGTGCCGTTAACTACCTATTATCGCACTCTTTCTAATGTATATATTTTGTAAGAAATAGTACGTGTCATTAAAGCGAAAGACTGACTACCGAGCGCTAAAAATTAGTACAAGAGCTGATTTTATCCTAATTATTAGCTGGAAGACAACATATCTCGTAAAATGAGCTCTGTTATTTTCAAAATCTTTCTATATTATTTCTCAAAAAAATTGTCATTTTAGGATCTTCAAATGTCTCTTCGATAAAAACATATAGTTTGCTGACAGAAAGGCACCTTTCTCCTCGTCGCCTCACAATTTATTGCTTTAAAGTCTGTGCTGAGCTTTCTTGCGGTGTTACTCGATTGCCGGTTCGGGTTTTGCCTCACATATTTGGTAGTAAATTTTTATGCTTCCACACATCGACTCGACGAATCTCTTTCGGCAATTTCTGAATATGTAGAAAGATGAAGCGAGAATCCGAGATTGCAGTAATACGACTTTTGTATCAATTAAATTTGAGTTATTGCCTACAACAACCTTAATATGTCGCTTCTGACCCACGCTACCGAGTCAGCCTGTGTGGCTCAGTGGTAGAACATCTGTCTTGTAAACAGATGGTCCCCGGTTCAATCCCGGTCGGAGGATATATCCTGTGCTTTTGGCTTTAGTCATTATATTGCAGTAGCGATCGCCCCTATCGCAGTATTGACGCTTCTTATTGGTGGTATTTCAGTGGGGAGATTTCATTGCCAACTGTAGTAGCAATAGCTTCAAGGGAAATGCCGCTTGTTGACAAACGAAGACGCTAAATTTTCACCGCGTGCAGTCAAATTCTTGTTCACCCATCGGTGAGAAGGGATAGGTGCACTAGGCTATGGACCACAGCCAAGAGGAATTGAAGGCGAGTGTATCTTTGCCGCGAAATTGAGTCGTCTTCTCTGCCGGTGTAACACCCAGGTTGACTATGCAACAATCACAATACATCCCCTTTCTTTTTTTGTTGAGATATACGAAGGGTCTTGTGTCTACGAAGGATTAACCTACAGACAATTGCATAGAAGTTGTTGAGTCGTAGGAGGTGCGGGACGGCCTAAAGGAACCGGGTTCAGATATAAGTCGTGGATGTTGGAATCAGTTATATTTTGCCCTAAACAATCTTCAAAGAGCTCTTTGCCTATTTATGTTGTCGTATACATCTAAGTACCTAACTTGGTGAGGCCGTCAAATGTTGATTTGTTAAGAAGAATCTTGCAATTACGTGTGACTTTGGAATGATTAAACAATTGAGATTGTGCAACGGAACTGAAAATGCTGAGTGCAGCTACCATTCCCGCGCATCTCGCAAAAAATACTCACGAAAATCTCGAAGTCTTTTTAAATATCCTTATCAAGTATGAGGTCATTGGCAGCATAGATCGCTTTTCGAGCCTTGACAAGGATATGATATATGCTGACCTCTTACATGGCAGAACAAGCCACTGTTCGACTCTCGTTGCGAAGGTTCGTAAAGTTGTGAATCATCTCTGCAAGGGATCAGAAGCCATTATGGCGCGAGGTCAAAGCTTCGACAGCTGTAGTGCACCGCTCGTGATTGCCGCGATATTTAGGGATTTTTGTTGTTGTGACAATTGAAATTGCCTTTCTGCCGCAGTATTCAAGACAAGTTCTTCTGGATACAGACTGTGAGACGCAAGTGCGTAGGGCCAGAATATAGTGTCAATGAGAATGTTCATTACTTGTCGCGGCGTAACCGTAAAGTTGAGTCATCAAATCGCGGAGTGTACTCACCATGAGGAGCATTAAAACTTCGCGAGGTTCTGATGAGCAAGCTAATTCATTTGTGAATGAAGTGATCGGGTAGTGCTAGTCTAGTTTCTTCTCCAGGTTGAAGCTTTTGTATTATTAGAGATTAAACGGAAAGATAGTATACGAGAACTCGCAGGTTGGTCACAGCATCATATGGTGCTGGAAGAGGCGTTGGCCCCTTCATTTATCATGGATGAGTATGTTACTAAGAGCACTCAAGAAGCTTTAAGTACGTCAAATTACACAGCTATCCTCGACGATCCGACAGACCCTTCTCATCAATCCTTGAAGTAATCAAGACTTGACGAAAAACAAAGTTGCTTTGGTATAGCCCTTGATTAAAATGGTGCGTCATGAATTTGACTTGATCAACGGTTCACGATCGTGGCGAAAAACGATTACGGTCAAAATTTGCCTATCCTTACCGAATGCGAGACCGCCTTGTGGTTTTAGAGGGCTTGCATAAGTCAGATCATGATCCCTCACTAACGATCCAATCGGATATGAGGCGCGTTGCCGCATATCTGGTATCTTCTTTACGATCTTTCGAAGTTGAGCTACCCTTCACCCAGTGTAGCGATACGGTTTCGAACAGCTGATGGTGCTTTTAAGCAGACGGCACGATGTCGTAGCTCAAAGAGCGCAACTGACTCGTACCATTTTCTGCCACTCGCTGAGACTGTTAGAGAGAGACGTATGTGTCAACATAACTGACGCGAGTTCACATAAATAACTCCACCGAATACACCACGGTCGAAGATCAAAGGGTAGCAAACTTCGATTTGGAGCGATAAGTGAATCGGTGGGATGGTTTTAAAAAGCTAGCCTCATCGATTCCTCATGACAGCTCATTTTTCCTCCTCGGCAACATTACCTAGTGCAGCTGACGGATATGATCTGGCGTATCCTTGGTCCTTACTTCGATTTTCTCGTTGTGGCATACATCCACTGAAAGCTCAGCATTGTTAAAACGCCGATAAAGGGTCGACAGCTGTTATTAAAGTCTTTTCAAGACGAACGAGCTGTCTACAACACAAATTACAGGTGCCTGGTTTCAACTGGTCAGTCTTTTCTTTTTTCTCCGCAAATCACGCATTCATCGACGCTCTAATCGGACTTCTGTTTCACTTAAGCTGGTTTGCAGAGCCATATGGGGTGTGAGATGACGCGTTTTACCAGCTTACTGGGCAAAATTAAATGCGATATACCTTGACATCATCGCCCATATTACATTGCCCCAGGTGGGATCATCATGGAGTTTACGGGATTTTTTAGCCATTGTTGCTTAAAAGCCGGCGAGTTGTGATCGGTGGGGTCTGAAAAGTCTCGCGAAAGAACTTTCTGGGGGATAATGTCGTTTGTAGAATGAGCATAAGGATCGCTGCGCGGGCTTCGTCTCGGCACGGTTGACAACTCAGGATGGTTTGAAATCACCATAACGTTATGATAAGACCAGCAGGAGTTGGAGTATCTCCCACACTGAAAGAGGGGTATAATGAGAGTCTTGAATCACGTTCAGCTGACTGGTCACGAGCTGGATATCTTCGTGCAATTTACGGTGGGGTGTCCACTGTAGGTGGAGGCACTGAATTCTTACTCATGATTAGAGGCGGCGATCAGCAAACGCCTTTTCCTCGACAAAAAGATTGGTCGCGATATCATTAGATCAAGGCGGAGGTTTTGGCCAGGAGGCTCAGGGTCACTACGACCATTCTCAGCGGGGATAATATCGGCCTCCTCACCCCTTATTGCTTGATAGGCGTAGATCGTAAGGGCCGCGCTTTCTCGTAGACACGTCGATCCATGTACGATAGTACCACGGAGACCATTCCCACGTGCAATGTCTTAGAAACGGGCACCGTTGTGCTCTAATGTGATTGATTTTGCACAATGTCATAATAGCGAAAGAAGTTTGAGGCTTGGTGGGATCGTTATGTTGGGGGGTGCAATGGGGCAAAACTGTATGATAATCTTCGTACACCTTCCACGTCCAGACAGTTGTGCAGAAACAGTCTTCTTCGATATGCACAACGTAAATACAAAACTAGTAATAATTGATGCGGCGATACCTGTGAAGATGATGGGTTACTGTAATGGAGAGGTTCGCGGTACATGTAGCTGTCACTTCATGTCAAGCACTGAATATTCAGTGTATATATTGATCATTTTGTATAAAACAGATCCTTGATATATGTAACTCTTGAGAGAGCAGAGCAAACTAGTTTTTTCATAAGCTCCCAACTTCAATTTTGGGTGATGATCTCGAGCTCAACCCCTGTGAGCATGTTATCGGGGAATCTTTGAGTAATGTTCGTAAGTGTTGATATGAATGTCAATAAACGACTTTCCGCGCCCTCCATGACTATGTTTGTAATGTCATCAAAACAGACCTCTGGGTATTCATGAAGCGGATTGAACAGCTGCGTCACCAGACAATTGAATCTCGCTGGGCATGTAACATCTGAAGCATAATAAACCGCTCGGAGTACTGGGAATATTTCAGACACTCGCTCTTAACACTTGATAATCTCTTACATCATGTTGAAAGCTTTGGATATTCATACCCTAGCATGTTGCTTTGTGGCACTTACTCAATGAAAATTCGTGCATGGATGTCATTTTGGCTGTACATAACATTTCAAAAGCCATAATTATTTGCTTGATGTTCCCCTCTGACGCTGGATACTCACGTCAAATAGGAGGATTGCCATAATCTCAGCAAATTCTTTTTGTGATTAGCTTAAAGGATAACGTCTGTGTCACAATGCTCCTTGTTAGAGGCCATTGTCAACACAATATTGATTAGTGTAGTGTGGCCTTTTCTGTCACAAATTAAAGATAAGCAACAAGGTTTGACAAAACTTTTACCACACACTACATTGATATTTGGGGTTCGCGTACCTCGTCGGGTGGCGTGCTGCTTTTAGACGTCCCCCATTCAGCGCATGACGCTCAGTCTCGCTGAGATAAGCTCTAAGTAAGCAGTCAAATTGTATCGACAGCCCACCCCTCATCAAAACCGGATTCACCTTTTGGTGGTGCCAACAACACCCAGGGGCTCAATAAACATGTTTATAAATCGAGTCAAGTTTGTAGGACATAAACTTTGTCA